TCCTGCTGCCCCCCCTCTGCAGCATGGGTTATAGCCCTGCAAGACATTTGTCGGCCTTCACTTCCAGTGCTGTGGATTAAGATTGCAGCTCTACAAGCTTTTCCCTCTCATGTGTGGGCATAAGAGGACGCAAATACTGACTGTTAAAGTTTTTCCAGCACCTACTGTCTTTTTCTTTTGTGTGACAAGTGCAAAGTGGGTTTGCGAGGAGGAAGAGGAGGCCAGTAATGAAGATTAGTGGATATGTGTGTCTGGGAACCCTGGCATTGCCTTTTTGTACACCATTGGTAGTAACAGTAATAAATCTTTCTGGTGAATTAAGTGCAGGGCTGTTGTGAATCCTTAATTATTTGGCACACAAGGGCTTTGTAAGAAATTACCTCTCATGCCAAGCTCTGTGCGTTAATCCCCACCGATACATGTCACTCTTGATTTTCTGTCCAGTTACTAGAAATGGCTAAGTTAGGGCCATTACTTATGCCATGCTTTAACTCCACTAGCTGCTGTTTCCAAATCAAATCAGTTGTACCCTCTGCCTGGCGAACACCTTAGCCATTAGGTTGTCTACATAACTAAAGTTTGAGGGTCAAATCCTCAACAGTATGCATATGAAACGCACAGAGGCGAGTTGGTTTGCATGTGTTCCGACAGTGGGGACTGCAGCCCAGCAGATGAAAAGCTGGAGAAGGAGATGGAGGACTTTGTTACTTTCCCAGATTTTTCACAGACCTGCTATGAGATCTCAGCAGATCTGTTGCTGCATTTCTCAGATCTTCCCGTCTTGTTCATTTAGATTGTGTGTTTACTGGAGTTTGGCCTTTTTCATGTGTTTGTATTGTCCTGGCACACTTGGAGCAGTAGATGGCAAGAACAGTGACTTGCGTGCGTTGGGATGCCTTTTCTTTCTAGTAAGAAATTTTTTGTACCCCAGTGACTAAGTTGTAATACCTGTTACCATTTAAAAAAAAGAATGTAGGATGCATATATGCTTTACAATGTAAACAATCCTTCCAATTGTTGCTTTTAAAAGAGCATCTGATAGCAGCTCTTACTGTTGGTAGCTAGTTTAAAACCTCATGCTAATTACTTCATACCTCATTATAGTCTCTCATGCATTTGGATAGCTTCCTACCTTTTCATTGTCCTTCCAGCAAGGAATTTGAAGTGCTAGCTGTGAAATGCTGATGGAGTAAAACCTTATAAAGTTCAACTGGCTGTGCCAGAATTGTACTCTGGCATAACCCTAACCCTAGCTTCCATTGAACTTAGTGAGATGAGGAAAAATAAGGGGGTTAAGATGAGAGCTCATGCCCTACCTTCTTCACGTGCAATTGTATTTAACATGCATTGGGGCAGGAGGAGGAGGGGTCGGATCCCACAGTGTTCTCCCAGGCTCTGCAGTGCTTAATCATGACAAAATGAGTTAAGAACAACACTTAAACCCAGCTGCCTTTCAAACTTTGTAAACAAATGCCATCTCTAGCATATACGTAAGGAGAGGAGCATGATGGGGGCTAACAGTGTATGGTTATTCTGTTGCAGATTCCCAGTGTACATAGAGGAGAAAGCTCTGAATACCCTAGCCTACCTTTGCGACGGTGATGCAAGGACTGGACTGAATGGGCTCCAGTTAGCAGTTCAGGCCAGATTAACGGTGGGGAAGATCACTCCTTTGAATACTACCAAAGGTGGTTCTGCAGATGGCGTTCTGATAACAGAAGAGCATGTAAAGGAAGGACTACAACGATCTCACATCCTGTATGACCGAGCAGGTGAGTACCTGATACAGTTTCTGAGATGCAGCATTCTGAAGAGCAGATAGCCTCTATAATTTCTGTTTCTTCTCCCCCTTTCATACCAGTTGCTCTGGTGAAACAGTGATTGTACTGAAATTTGGCCTAAAAATTACTTTTCTTTTACAGTGTAGGAGACTCACCCAGAAATTCCTTCTAAACAAGATTTCCTCTTACCACTTGGGAAGTGTAGGTTAGCCGAGACACACATTTGCTGCCCTGTGAACAGTTGCATAGTGAAATTATTTGTTCTTTAAGATTTTTAGAATATTATCCTCTAAGAGGGTTGCAATGTAAAGAGGGAGAAGTATTTTGATGAGGAGATTTGTTCTTGAAGGGTTGGAAATCTTCCATTGCACTTTTACTCCTTTGAAGGTCTTGGAAATGCTCACATTCACAACAATGTTATGTGAAAACCTGAGCAGTTTGCTTTATTTTTAGAGTTTCTTTTTAAGGTAATGAATTTTGTAGCTTGCTTAGGGCAGGTCACATAAATCTAATTGCATTTAAGGCTTCCTAACCTTTATCTTAAAGGTCTTTTCCAACCTAAACGATTCTATGATACTGTGATTCTAATGTGATAACCACTCTTGCTAAATTTGTGACTTGGCAATGTTAGGCTTCGCAATAGTTGGCTACTATAACTTTTACATGAGAGGGTTACAGATCAGGGTGAATATTAGAGATTAGGTCAATCCCCTTGAATGGATATGCTAATTCTTCAGCAATACTTGAATCACTGTGCAGTATAGTGCCAAACAATCATGCCAAGCAGTGTTTGGAGAAGTGACTGATTTTTGTTTTGCCACTGTATCTAATATGCTCAATTAACTGTCACTACCCAAAACCTGTGATGAGAGATTTCTTGAGGTTGTTTGAAACGTATATGCCTGCTTGCAGCCTTCTTGCTGCAAAGAGGAAATGATGGCTTATTGTCAGGAAAAAGTCAGCTGGGCAGATACTGATATGATGGCAGCTGAGAAGTCAAGGGTAGGCAGGGGGAGGGAGAAGAAAAATTTTATGGGGTCTGTGGCAGGAAGAAGTCAAGATTAGGAGGAAGCGGAAGATCTGACCAGTTTACTGGTGTAAGTCTCACGCCGTGTAGTCCCTTGTGTGTTTGCTGTCGCCTTGTGGCGACTGTCACGCAGAACTCTTGGCTGTGTCCATTGCTCCCAGCCCTCCCATGCCTGTTTGCTCTGTTAGAGATGGCATAGAGTCCCTCTTCCTGAGGCTTGCATCAAGTCTAGGTAGCATGTGTCACCCCCGTCTCTGTGACAGAAATTCTTCGAGCTCTGTGTAGGTTTGTTTTTGTTTTTTTGTCAGAGGTTTTCAGAGAGGGGTGAGAGTGGTGAAAATTCTGTTTTTCTTGATTGTACAAATACCAAAGAGCCTGCCACAGATACTGTCACAGTAGCAAGTTGCCCGAGTACATGCCTTTACAAAATTTCTGTCTTCTCTGGAGTAGTCTGTGTCTTCGTTGACCACTTTCGCCAATAGTAGAGATAGCTGTTTGTCCTTTTATGTACAAAGGGCTTCTGGATAGAGGCTACTGTATAAATAAAGATATTTTTGTAGCATGTTTTAGCTAATACTTCTTGAATCACAGTTGTTGTGGAATCCACAATCCTGTAATATAAAGTGCTTCAGCCTTACAAAGTGGAGGGACACGATGCTGTCTAATCATGACAGCAGCAGCGTACATTTGAGTGTAGTGTGTTCATGTAGAAAGCACCAAATAATTGATTAGTGTTCAGAGTTGTGTAAGTATGGAATTTTGATTTTACATAATTACTTATTTTTGGTCACCTTCCGCAAAATTTGCCAAATATTCATAGTTGGGCATTCTTTTACGTACTTTCACCAAGTAGTCTAGGAAGGAAATTATTTGTAATCCAGTCATTAGGCTATTGTTCTGATTTGTGTGCAGACATGTAAAGACAAGATCTTTGTGCAGATAATCTATGCATTTTAGCTGGAAGGACAAAGAAACAGCTCTAGTCAAATTTCACTGCCAGCAGCTGCCTGCAGCCCTTGCAGTGTGAGAGGAAACAGGCTATTTAGTCATGTTCTAGCTTTTAATTGCAGTTTTTTAAATTTTGATTTTTGGAGAAAATGATGCAGCAACCAAATTAATTAAAGTTTAACTGCAGATGGACAGCGAATAGATTTTTAAGATAGTTGTATTGTCTCTTCTTCCTCTTATGTATTGTGTCTCTCTGCTAACACTGATTTAATAGCAAATACCAAAGATAAATATCAGAATAATTGCAGGATTTTGTCTCTCTGTCTATGTGGTAACATAACTTCAGTTATGGTAAAGACTGGGAACGTGTTAAGCTGAAGTGAATTTTTTCTGTAATCTGGAACACGGTTGTTCCTTACTCTTCTGTGGAGGAGGAAAGAGAAGGTATTTCACGCCATAATGTTGTTTGCCAGCTTTATTGTTTTCTGCTGGACCAGAATGAGAAGTCTTTTTATCCATGCTGTTGCTCTAGTCTTTCTTCCAAGGCTTTCTTCTGTCGTTTATCGATGAGCAGTTGATGTTTACCTTTAGCTAAAACAGAAAATAACATGATATGGGGACTGTGATTTTACTTTTGCGCACTACCTTATAAATAGGGATTGCTTAAGAAGTCCAAATGTTAATTATGGTCAGTGAATGAGGCCTTTTCCCTGTCTTCAAGCAATAAGACTTTAGATAAATCAACATCTTAAATTAGCTGGAAAACTGTTCATGAGCACATAAAGCAATTTAGGGGCATAAATCAACAAGATTTATGCATCTGTGTACGTGAGACACTAGAAAATCCTGTCCTCCACAAAGCCTCTTGTGTAGTATCTTGTTTCTCTTCGGAGATGTGTTTGCCTTTATGGGAACTGCATAGAGCAAATATATTTTGATTCCAAAAACTCTTTAGAATTTTGATTTCAAGAGGATGAAACAGGGGATGCAGAACAGCAGTGATAGATAAGTTGGCATGTCTGTGTCTCAACTGAATTGATAAGGCCAAAATCTGTGTGTTGGCTAACCAGCCTGAGAGACAGAGCTAATAAATAAAGGTCTCTGAGAAGTTCTGTCTAATTTTTTTAAACTGCTTCTGGTATCTCACATAGAATATACATAAATTGTATTTTTTAAAAAGAAACATAAAACCTCTTTGTCCAATGCATGTAACTGTACTTTGACTTAATTGAAACTGCATTTAAAGTATAACTGCACGGTTTTTCTGAAGAAGTCCAAGTCTGGTGTGTAAGTACTGTCATTATGTTGATGAGTCGGTCACCAACATTAACTTCGTGAGGAAGGAGATAAGGCCAAAATCTGTGTGTTGGCTAACCAGCCTGAGAGACAGAGCTAATAAATAAAGGTCTCTGAGAAGTTCTGTCTAATTTTTTTAAACTGCTTCTGGTATCTCACATAGAATATACATAAATTGTATTTTTTAAAAAGAAACATAAAACCTCTTTGTCCAATGCATGTAACTGTACTTTGACTTTAATTGAAACTGCATTTAAAGTATAACTGCACGGTTTTTCTGAAGAAGTCCAAGTCTGGTGTGTAAGTACTGTCATTATGTTGATGAGTCGGTCACCAACATTAACTTCGTGAGGAAGGAGATAAAGGGAGAAAACTGTCCCCTTTCCCAGCCTGCGTACTCTGAAGTCCCCTGCAGGTATGTAACTCTAGTCCCAACCTACCCGCTGGATTCCTTCTGCCTCTCCAGCTGGTATCCCCAAGTATCACACTTTACAGTAGCCCAAACAGTGTATAAAAGCACTCCAGCGAAAAAATCTGGGCGAGTGCAACCTCTGGAGATACTGAAAGGCTGTCTTCCTTCCTTTTAAGAGACCAAGAGATGCCTCTTCCAAGAGGACGGTGCGAGTTCAGCTGCTTGGGTTTATTGCTACTAACTCAAGTGTTATGACGGAGCACGGACACGCTGTTTGTGTTGGCACAAGTAATGACTGCATACCACGGGGCTCTTTGTGTGGAGTCCTAGCAAAAATAGCTGTCTGCCGGCCTGTGTACGCTGGCAGCGCGTGTGTTGAATTCCCCACAGAACCGCACTGCAGCGTGAGCAGCGACGCAGGAAGATGGACCCAGTTTCTGACCTGGGAGGTGGAGGTCTTGCTGGCTATGAAAGGAGAAATTGCAGCAGCATGGGGGCTTTGGTTTTCAAACTCATGCGTGCGGCCTTTCACTTTGCAGGGCCTGCAAGCGACGGTGATGTGTTCTGATACAGCCCTCAGGCTGTAAATCCTTTTAGCCGTAGGAAGAAGAGAAATACTAACAGATGGCTGTGCATGCAGCCAGTTGCCTTTATAATACACACTTAGCTGTGAGCCAAGGAATGCCAGGCACTTCAAAAAATAAAAAAGGCAGATTACGTGGAAAGTTTAACAACAATATTGCAGCAAAATACTCTTACAAATTTGGTTAAAAGAAATGCATAAGAATCAAAACCAGCTGCACGGAGAAAAATTGCAAGCAGGAAGGGTCTCATTCAGTATTTGTAATGTTGACCCTCTGTTTTTAACTGTAGCCCTAAAAGATCTGTGGAATGGCTTTGTTTCTCCTTGGAATCCATATCTAATCTTATATTAAACTTTAATGTTAAAAAAAGATTTCCTTGTAATTCATTCAGTCTTCCCACTCCTTATTTAGCAGTCTGGCATTTCAGGTTTTGTTTGTGGTTTTTTTTTTGTTTCAGCTGCTTACAGTTTTACAGTGTCCACAACTGAACTCAGCATTTCTTAGGGGTTTGCCAGGGTTGTGTGCTGCTATCCTGTTTCCTCCAGATTGTGTAATATGCCATCATTGAATATCTACAGCAATGTTTCCTTTTTTTTCCCTATATAATACAGCAAACTCGTGTTCGATTTACTGCACGCTTTATTTTCAAGTTTTAGTTGAAATTTCTTTTTCTAAAAATATCACTAGTGTATAGTACTGGATTTCTCTGATTCTTCTGTCGTCTTCTCAGAGCTGTGTGCATGTCCAAAAGCAATGGTCAGTGGCTTGTATGTGCTCATACTTCACTCTTTGTCAATTAGGAGATATTTATATAGAGTCTTCTTCCTAACTGCTTAAAGTATCCGTATTTTTTTTTCTTCTGAAGGAAAGGCCATTAGGGTACCAAAACCAGATTGTTTGCCTTGCAATGTTTAAAAAAAAAATCTGCCTTTTCATCTGCAGTTGCTCTGTTATGCTTATGTAGTTAGCAGAATGATCCATGTAGCAAAGCATGAAGATGTTGAAAACATTAATTAAACACCATAATCATATGTACATAAAAAGAACTTGAAGAAGCAGGTTATGTTTACCTGCTGTGATCTAGTAAAATATATTCTGTTCCCTTAAATGCATTTCACTTAATTTCCTCCTAACAGCTTTGTGTATCTTTTCTCCCCCATTCTAAATAGGAGAAGAACACTACAATTGCATCTCTGCCCTGCATAAGTCCATGAGAGGCTCAGATGAAAACGCTTCCCTTTACTGGCTTGCTCGAATGCTTGAAGGTGGTGAGGATCCACTCTATGTGGCAAGGAGGCTGGTGAGGTTTGCAAGTGAAGATATAGGTCAGTATTTGCAGTATTTCATGTTGGAATATTATGTTGAATGACGATCTGCCAGGCTTCTGGTTTCCAAAAATTGGCGTTTGAGGGGAAAAAACCAACCCCAAAACTGCTGTATGCAAAATAGCTACAAAATACTGAAATGCTCCACATCCAACAAAAGCTTTGTATATGCACACAGAAACCTACATGTGGTGTCATTGTGATGACCACCTATTGCGGGAGAAACCAATATTTTTGAGATCAGGTTTTGGCAGTGTACTAATACGGATTCTTTTAAACTCTGGTGATTGTAGGTCACCAGTAAACTTGCGTCACAGAGAGTGTGTATTTCAGGGATGTCCGGTTTTTTAATGACTCTGGAAGGTGAATGCCTACCCAGACTTGCAAACCTCAGATTTGATAGCTGGCTCCCTAGTTGCTCCATCTTGATTGACTTAACCGGAGTAACAGATGCAGCAACGCTTTTAGCACGTATGTGATGGGTGAAGAGTTCTGAGATCTGGGGAAGCTATGTCTATATAGCAATATTTCCCCATTTCTTTCACAATTCCAAAAAGTAAGTGAATCATACACGGGCAGCTACTGCTTAGGCTGCCACCGTGTGGCAACAGATTCAGTCTGAAAATCATACCCGCAATTTAGACCTTTCTTTTTTTTGGGGGGGGGTGCAGAAGAAGGAAGGCTGTGGTTGGAGGGAGTATATCTTATATATTGCAAAGTATTGTACCAGAAGTTCCAATATCTGAGAAAGCAACTTCGAAATGTGCATGGATAACCTTCCATCTTACAGGAGGGGAAAAAAAAAAAAAAAAGAGACAGTAACTAAAGTAAACTGACTTTAACCTGCTTTTATCTGATCCCTTTTTGTAGGACTGGCAGATCCTCTGGCTTTAACACAAGCAGTTGCTGCTTATCAAGGCTGTCACTTTATTGGAATGCCAGAATGTGAGGTAAAGGCTTCATTAATTCACTGAATTGAAAGTACTGCAAACTGTAAAACCTATCTGTAATTATAAAAAGAAACAGAGATTGCAAGGGCAAGGCAAATTTAGTTACTTGTTCATTCAGCACGCCCCTTCTTTGACAAGTAAGGGAACATCGTAGCTCTTAAAATAGATACTGTAGTTTGAAATAAAATTCACTGCATATTTATTGTTAAAATGTGGTATGTGAACTAACGTCATTTTGCTCTGTCCATTTTTTTCTCTCCATTATAAATAAAATAATATATTCTCATATTGTGAAGTAGTTATTCCTTTCTAGCAGTGAAAATCGCAAAGAGCTGTTATTGTTAAATAACAATATCCATACTATAGTAGCAGGCAGAGGTCAGTTTAAAAACATAATCCCTGTCATGCTGCACAAACAAGCTGACTAACAGACCTTTTCCCGAAGAGCTTAAAGAAGTCATTTAACATCTTCCCTTTCCTTGTTTCCAGGTCATTCTAGCACAATGTGTAGTGTACTTTGCCAGAGCACCAAAGTCTATAGAGGTATACAGGGCGTATAGCAATGTCAAAGAATGTCTGAGAATGCACACGGGACCTCTGCCGCCTGTTCCGCTGCACCTGAGAAATGCCCCAACAAGGCTCATGAAGAACTTGGGCTATGGTGAAGGCTACAAATATAACCCCATGTACAAGGAACCTGTAGAGCAGGACTATCTACCACAAGAGCTGAAAGGAACAGACTTCTTCAAGGAACAAAAGACGTGACCGCCTTGCTCGGAACAGGTTTTGATTCTATGACTCGTACATTTGTACTGGGATGGAAATTCCCCCCCCTTACAGTTTCAGCCATCTGTTACTGTGGTTAAAAGTATTAAGCCACTGAGCCTTTCAGATACTTTCTTACCCTTCTGGTTTTACTGCTGTTATTCTGAAGGTGTTTTATAAAGAATTGCAGTTAGGCAGTGTATAAATGCAAAACTAAGCTTTATCGGTATAGTACTGTCACCCTCTGGTTCAAATGAAATGGGCAAAAAATGAGACGCTTGTATTTCTGGCTGTTGCTGTAAGACAAGGAATATTATTGTGCTGCTTTTAAAATCAGTAGCTATTTCAGATTTTGAGAATACTGTTTTTCCAGCAAATAAATTGTACCCCCTCTGCTAAAATACGGTAAACAAAATATAATTACAGTGTAATTCTTGCTCTTATGATGTTCCGGAGACTACTTTTGTACAACATTTGCTAAACCAATAAAGTTGTTAAAAATAGCGTCTATGCATTTGTTTAAATATTCTTATGACAACAGTGTGGTTTTGAAAGTTTGAGGTTCCTTTGACTTTATCATCCCTACCTTCCAGAGCAAGTTGAAATCATTTTGGAAGTAGAATAGTCGTGAAAATAGCTGAATTATGTTAATTTTTGAAGTTGCATCACTTAAAATTTTTACTGTGTGGTGACGTTGTGGGAAGTGCTTTTGGAAAGGAGATTCCTAGTAGTGAAACACTCATGTATTTCCAGTCGTGCTTCAGGAATTCCAATAGCTTTGAACTGGAAAGCGGAGAGACACGAATTGACTCCCT